TGTTTCATCTTCTTCAAAAACTATGTCACGCGTTATATCATCTGCCACTTCTTCTTCAATGATCACTTCATCCTCTCCGATCACTTCCTCTTCAATGATCACTTTATCATCACTGGGAGTGGGGACTTCTTCCTCAAAAACAATAACATTATCATTTGGCACATTGTCTTTAATGATAACTTTTTCATCTTTTTCAGCTTCTTGTTTTACAGGAGCTTCCTTTCTTATCGTGAACTCATTACCACTGGAGTTTTCATTTCATTTTTTATAAATCAATTATTGTAAACTACAAATTTTATTTCTTACTTTTCATATGTTGGATTAGTTTTTTTGACTGATTTTGCATAAATTATCATATTTAGTAGAGTACATATATCGATCATTATATAGTAGAGTACATATATCGCAAAGGAAATTTTTTTTTTTGATGAATCATGAATAAAAAAGATATCAGCCCCAATTATATTGTTTTGCGTATTTCATGAAAATTAACTTTACAATTTTTGTTTGTGTAATGGCTAAAAAACTTTAGCTTTTAGAAGAAATTTACAATTACTTTTTCAGGAAGTTATGCTAATACTTTACCAAGGGTTCCCAAGACCAATTTTGCCTACAAAACATCCAGAGAGCAGCAAGGGATGATTTTAAGACTGAATTGGTCGAGGGATTCCGTGGTTAAGAAAAATTCTCTTAACTTCCCGAAAAAGGTAGTTGTACACAATTTTATCGTCTTTAAAGATGAAAATGCGCAAATTTTTTCCCGATGGTTATTTTAAATAACTGTCCCAAGGGACGTTAAATAACTTAACCTCCCTCTCTTTGGGGAATCATTGGTCGTTAATGTTGGTGAAAAGGGGGTAAAATACTAATTTTAATGATATAAATAAATGAATTGTTCCTGCAGCAGACTAGAGGAATTGAATCCTGATATCCACATGTTCTTCTAACCAACTCATTTCTAGCAGATCCATCCCCCATCTTAATCTAAATATAACAATGCAAATTTAAAAGTGTTATATAACTCATATTTGATTGCAAAGAAAGAAAAAAGTCTGAAAATTACTAGTCCAATTAAATACAAATGAGAAGTGTATTTTATCATGACCAATTAGATTCTAGTACAATAGGTGGCAACGTACACTCTCAGTTCACCTGTATTCTGACGTCACAAGTGTCCATTCAGTTTTCGTGTCCGACAAAATTGTTAATAATAGTTATAATTTTAGAATAAAGTCCTTATCCTACAGTAAAATAAGTGCAATTATGTGTTCTTTATTTTCTGTTCTTACACTTTTTTATTTAATCTTGGAAAACATGTCAACTAATGTGAGAAAATTCAGTTTTTCTTGTTATATTTGACATTTGTGACGTTGTGTGTTGTCCTTTTGTACTTGATAGTCTATTTTCATGAAACACAAATTAAGTGGTATACAAGCATACAAGTGATTTTTTTATTTTTTTTAAAAGATGTCGATATGGGTATCAAAAGATCCGTCTTTCATTGCCTAATTCAACGCAGCAAACGGTTTGTAAAATATTCAAAAACATGCGATCTAGGAGCATTAAAGTGAAAAAAATTAGGGAAATCACAAAGTCTGCTTTGTTTTCTAGTTTTTCAGCGTCAACTTGGCTATTTCCGTAAAACGTTTTTTCCGTTTAATATGGCTTGGAAATACGGATCTTTTGATGCCCAAATCGCCATATTTTGAGAAGAAAAAAAAACACTCCTACTATGCGTGTTTTTATCACATAAGACCATTTTCGATGGTCAATTTTGATTTTAGCAAAAAATACCTTTGTAAATGTTTCTTAGAATTAAAAAATACATTGGTATTGAAATTGATTCATCTGCAATTTGTGAAAAATCTTTCACCCTTATGCAAATGACAAACAAATTTCCATTATCGAAGACGATAATCATTTTAGTTTATGTAATTTTTCATTTTGATTATTTAAGTTATAACAGTTTAAACTGT